CAGGTGGGTGGTGGCGAAACTCATGGAGATGCCGATGGCCTCTGAGGACTCTTGGTATGCCGTCTGTGACTTCTCTAGATTTAGCAAGATTTTTAGGTTGCAGGTCCTTTCGATAATTAGTTAGGTACTCTTTCATGATTGTAATTCCTCCCAGGCTTTGTGGCCGAGCTCTGCACCAGGCTGGAACTCATGTGGCGGCTCTTGCATGAGCTCGGCTCTGACTCTCATCAGCATTAATTAAGTAAGTTTAATTAATTAGATAATTACTTTTCTACATAACGAATTACTTAATTAAGACTCGAAAACTACTAACCTCTAATCCCAGGAGACGTCTGCGACGCCATCGGACATCGCCGAGATTTTGTCCTCTTTGGCATGGTTCCGGTCGGAGACTCTTGGCTACGCAAACCTCTATCTAAATAAACCCTAAAGACCCCCTAAACCCTAAACCCTAAACCCAAAGGTCTGGGCTCTTCCCGACCGCGAGACCTCTGAGTGGGCTGCTCTTGCTGTGGCACACCTCTCAGCTGTCGCAAGTGGAGGACAGGCTCCGCTACCTCGCGGAGCTCCTTGATGTAATTAGTTTAGGGGGTTTAGGGTTTTGGGTTTAGGGGTTTAGGGGTTTTGGGGTTTTGGGTTTAGGGGTTTAGGGGTTTTGGGGTTTTGGGGTTTAGGGGTTTGGGGTGTTGTAACCCTAAACCCTAAACCTTAAACCCTAAACCCTGAGTAAAGCCTAAACAGTTATATAAGTAACTAAGGAATAAACTAAGTAGTATGCACCATGTAATTAAGGTTCTCTGCCTATCGCCAGTTCTCTTGGGCCCTCTTGCTGCAGCGAACCGCTTATTTTGCATTGATTAATTAATTAGGTCTCTTTTTATTAAATAGTATTAGATTGAAAGTTCTTGATTAGGATTAGGGGTTTGGGGGTTAGTCGTTTACAGGTCTCCTGGCCCTCTGAGATGCAAGATCGCGCTCTCTCTGCGACATGTTTTGCCCCGGACCGCTGGGCCTCTCTGCTTAATTACTCTTTGTTTTCAATACATAATTAATAGGAAGT